CCTTCTGATGACTGAGTGAAACACCGATGAAACCGTATTTCACTGCCCCTCGTTTGTCATCCTCTTCTCCCTCTCTTCCTACAGTTTGTCGCGCAGCTCTCTCTCTCTCTCTCTCTCTCTCTCTCTCTCTCTCTTTTTCTGTGTGTGTGTGTGTGTGTGTATATATATATATATATATATATATATATATATATATATATATATATATATATATATATATATGTCCTATTGTTTAGCGTGTGATGTAGGGGGCGGTGCTTGTATCTAGAATGTATTATGTTTGTTTTTTTGTAACCTTGTATGCATCCCGGTTGGTTTTGCCCCATTGTTCGTTCTACTTTAGTGAGCTTTCATGTGGGACCAGTCATCAGTTTTTTTTTTTATCTGTTTGGCATCCTAGTTGGTTGTTTTCGTTGTTCAGCCTATGAGAGCATGAATGGTTTAGGAATAGGAATACGAACATCTTGATGATGAATAAAGTCATATGCTGTATAAAAATATATATTAGGTTTTTTTTTTTTTGCAGGCAACAGTGTTTTGATATCCTGGTTGATCTTGTCCCGTTATTTGCCTGTGAAGTTGGGGGCGGTGCTTACATGTGGGACTTGTCATCTAGGATTTTGTTGCCCCCTGTTTTGTTATATTTGGCTGTTCCCTTTCTCTTTTCTTTGCCTCTTTGCCTTTTGGCTGTGTGCAAGTGGGTCAATATGACACACATGGGTGGGGGGAGCTGCTGCTCAACCACATCCACGTAGGCGGCCTTGTACGGAAGAGGTTTCGAGCAAGGGGGGTTGTAAGTAAGAAGATAAAAAATGAATTGATATTTTTTTTTTTTTCTTTTTTTTTTTTTCGTTTTTGCGCTCTGATAGCTTTGTGACGATATATATATATATATATATATATATATATATATATATATATATATATATATATATATATATGTATATATCGTCAAACTACGAATACTGTTTTCCACTCCCCGAGAAGAACGCACGGTCATTATAGCAGCAGGTGTATTTGGGGAAACTTCGAGTCCAGATACAACGATAATGACCGCTCCCATTCCATTCACCGCGAGATGGTAACCACTTGTGAAAATAATAGGAATATACCAGGAGGAAGAGCGAGGAAGAGGAGGAAGGGGAGGAAGGGGAGGAGGAGGAAGAGGAAGAGGAGGAGAAGGAAAAGGAGAAGAGAAAGAGAAAACTCTCTCTCTCTCTCTCTCTCTCTCTCTCTCTCTCTCTCTCTCTCTCTGACTCAGGCTGACCTTCATCCATAAGAGAAACTCAACACGGGCTTCCCATTCGGGTTCTAGAATGAATTTAACTAATGCCTGTTTAGCTCAATCCGCCAGATAAAGGAACTGTAGTCTTCGAACTATCCGCAAGAGAAAGGAATTTAGTCTACTATCTTCGACCTATAATGCCTGTTCGTGCTCTTCTCCTCGTTGTTGTTTCCCCCGATCTTATCATTGTCGGGTCGCCGCTGCCTGTTTGCCAATGGTTCAAAGCTGTGCAAGGGTGCGGTCGCGGCCGGTAGTTGCAAGGGGTCGTAGTAGTGTAGGTCTAGTGGTCGTTTGATTAGGTCGTTCGGGTGTGTTGTGGACGGCGACCCGATTTTCCTTTTTGGGGAAGAATGAATTGTATGGTTTTTCACACTGCGGTAGCAAATCCGTATAAATAAAATTGCGAAAATGGGTTGGGCCGAATTGGGGTATTTGGGACGTTTCAGGTCACACTGCGTTCACACCGCGTTCCCATTTCGCTAAAGACACTGTCGCTAGCGTGCCATCAGGGTGCTGCTGTTTGGGGTTACCAGTCACAACCTCGCATAATCATCCGTGCAGCCCCCAAGCTACAATCTCAGATGCCCTGGCTGTGCCCCCGGTTCCAATTTTTATACCCAAAGCCAAAGCCCTGCCTGCCATAGGGAGGTATCGCATATTGCTGCCACCCATAGCGTTTCTTAGGCTGAGCCTCTCCATCAACAAAGGAAAGCCCCTCGCCCTGGCTGCGCCACCACGCTTGGCGTGGTCTAACAGTGCTAGTGCTATGCGGCGGTGAGGCCAGAAACGAAGAGAGAAGATGATTTGAGGCCTTGCGTTTTCGTCCCGCGAGGCCCATAGTCTTTGAAATGAAATGACCAGCTCCAGCCCGGTCCCAGCTGATTCAGATTTCATTGTGGTGATTTCATTGTGGTAATCTGATGGAGGGTGGAATCGAACTTCGGTCCCTATTTCAACAGTTTGTGCGAGTTCCGACCGAGCTACCGTCCTCACCCGAATATAACGCCCGGTCATTATAGCCGTATTTGGGGCCATTTTCTGTCCAGATGCGGCGATAATGACCGGCCGTTGGTAGGCTCATCGGTGTGGACGAAATTTCACGACAGGCGCGGGTAGGCGAACTTGGCGAGCGTGCGCCGTGATGACGAATGTTTGCTGATTGGAGAGAATATGCCCTGAAACTGCGACCGAATTGGCAGCGAGAAAGGGCGGAACGATAAAGAGGGAGTTCGGGCGAGTTCGGGCGAGTCCTGCCGCGCCAGAGGCGGGGAGCACGAAGAGGGAGCGGGACGGTTTCGGGGTGCGAAGAACGCCAGCTCTTGCGGTAAGCCGAGGTATGCGATGTCAGCCCTCCCCTCCCCTCACATCTAGATGTGTATAAGAGACAGGTATACAGGGGTGGTGGGGGGAGAGAGAGAGAGAGAGAGAGAGAGAGATACAAGATTGGCTTACCATGTACTTACGTTGAAGACATCGCCGCGGTGCGTGCGCGAGTGAGAGAGAGAGAGAGAGAGAGAGAGAGAGAGAGCTGTCTCTTATACACATCTAGATGTGTATAAGAGACAGCCCCTGCCCTCCCTTGCCTTCCTTTTCCCTTCCGTTGTCTTGCCTCCCCTCTCGTGCCGTTGTCTCCTCCGCTCCCCTGCCGTCCTCCCTCCTCCCTCCTTCCCACTTCTGTGTCGTCATCCCTCTCCTCCCTTCCCTGCCTTTTCTGTCCTCTGTGGTTCCCTGTCTTTCCCCCTTCGCTATCGTGCTGCTGTTGCTGCCCTAGGGCCCCTGCCATCCTCTTCCTTGTGGTCTCTAGCCATGCCTCCCTCGCGGTTTCCTGCTGTTGTCCTTTCCCTCCTGGCTTCCCTTCCATTCTCTGTCGTCCTACTGCCGCTCTTCCCTCTTGGTGCCTTACCTCTTCGCTTTGCTTTCTCTTTCCTCTGCCTTTCCCTGTCCCCCCTCTTTTCCTGTCGTCCCTCCACTCCCCACACTCTTGCCGTACCTTCCGCTCTCGAGCTCTCTTTTCTTCCTACTGTCGCCCTACCTTGAACAGTCGAAAAAGAAAAAAGAAAAGGTCAAAAAAGAAAAAGGCTGGATGAGTGCCCCTTCTACCCGGGCGTGTTTCGGTGTCCATTGCTTGTCGGTTGTTTAGCGTTCTTGTTTGTACCTCTCGAACTTGGTGGATGGTCTTTATGGTCTTTCGATTTGTTCTTTAACGTCCAACGTCTGTGCCTTTTGATTACGTAGTCATCCTCACAAGTAGTCACCATTCCTGATTCGTCTTTCGCTTGGCTGTCTGTGTTCTTCCTCCTGCTTGCCCTGCTATGCCGTAGTTGCTTTTCCAATCAATCTATGCGCGTGTTCCGGTGTGTGTACGAGGGGAGGGGAAAACTTGGAAGTGTGAGCGGGCTTTCCGTGTCCCTTTCCTGCACGTCCTTAACACTCTCTCTCTCTCTCTCTTGTCTCTCTCTCTCTCTCTCTGTGGTTGCTAGCTTTGCTGTTTGGCGGCTATGGAGGGACGTTTTCTATCTTCTGAGTCTTTGTGCCGCCCGTCTTCCCTCCGGAATACAGGCGTAATGAGTAATGATAGGACGTGGTATTCAGTGGCGGACAGTAGCCCGTGAAATAGAGAAGCTGCCGCCCGTCTTCCTTCTGGCTTTTCTTCATGATCCGTCCGATGCTCTTTGCCATTACCTACGGTCTTACCCCGAACATAACGCACCCTCATTACCTACGCTCTCAACCCGAACATAACGCACCCTCTTTACCTACGGTCTCACCCCGAATGTAACGCACCCTCGTTGCGACAGTATCAGACCGGAAAGATAGCTTGTCTGCATTCATAATCAAGGTGCGTTGTGTTCGGGGGAAGACGGTAGTTGGACAGGGTTTTGCCCTCATTGCGGACCTCCTTTTCGCCGAAACGTGCTCTCGTTCGGCGGCGTGCATAGATGGAGTTTTTTTTTTTTTTTTTGTCGTTCTTTTACATGGATGGACTTTTTCGTTTCTTTCAATTCGAGAGAAGATCGATTCAAATCGCTCAAAATCGTTTTTAGGTGACGTGTACCATTGAGGTGATGATTGCAGTCGTTATAACTTGATTCCGAACATGTTTGTAGTGGAATTAATATTTATTGTAATGATTATCTTCGTGTTTTCACTTCGAATTCCGCGCCCCCCCCCCCCCCCCCCCCCCCCCCATTCCGTCTTCTCCTCTAGCCCCCCTTGGACCTCCAGACGGTCGAGTTGATCAGAATTTTGAGCCCAATCCATTCTCTTTGCCCCCTCTGCCCGGTTCATTCGGGCACTAATAGGTCCTATTGCTTCCAATTTTTTTTGGAAGGATGTGTTTTCTTGTGCTGGAGCATGGTTTGATCGGTGGTTGGCTAGCGAGGAATTACTAGTATCTGCCTCTTGGTAATCGCTGAACGCGACCAGAAGGTATCTAACGAAAAGATCTACGTACTACCGTGTTCACCCGAATAGAACGCCCGATCATTATAGCTGTATTTGGCACAACTTTCAGCCCAGATACGGCGATAAATACCGGGCGTTCTATTCGGGTGAAGACGGTAGATATGTTAATTAGATAGATTCAAGAATTGAACTGAGGCAGAACAGTACCAATGCAGGCGAAATGAAGCAGAGAAGTCACTAGAACGAATGTGGTCTCTTTACGGGATAGCATGAGTACACATTATTACATGGTAGATTGATATATGCGCAAGGACGTTATTAGGACTGCATGATGCCGCACTGTGATGAACGTCCTGCTGATTTTCTTGACATGTGGACAGCATGTCCTTCCTTTGTCAGGACTGTTTTGATGGGATGGGATGGGATGGTCCGTGCTAGCCGTCCTGCTGAATGCTGTGTAGCGCTGAAGTAGCTCTCCTTGGGTATCCTTGTGAACATCCACGTCGTCATCCTCAGCGTGCCTGTCCTATCTGTCGGGGTGGGGTGGGGGCTCCTCTTCATGACTGTTCAATGGAATCAAGCAGGTCAGGAGCAACACTAATTGTAGGACAGATAAAGCTTTCGACACTACCAACAGTTATGGAGGTGAAGAAAGAAAGAAACAATTGAAAAAAACGAAAAAAAAAAACGAAAAAAAGAAAAAAAGAAAAAAAAGAGAAAAAGAAGAGAAGAAAGAAAAGGGCAAATTGCTGAAGAAAAGAAAAGAGAAAAATGTGACAATGGCAATTGGTTTATCTGTGGGATGTGTCATTTGCTTTGTTTGACTGATAGGCCTTCCTCTTCCTCTTCCGTTGTCCTTTCTTTCTTTGACAAATGGATCCCTATCTCTTTCTCTTGCCTCTGTGAGATTTGGTTTCCTCCTCTTTTTCTTTACCTCTTTGCCTTTTGCCTGCGTGCAAGTGGGTCTTTGTGACCCACGCGGATGGGGGCAGCCAGCGCTCAACCTGTCATCCACGTGGCTGGCTTTGTACGTAAGAGGTGATGAACAGGCGGAGCTTTCCTTCGTTCCTTCTTTCCTTCTTTTTTTGTCTTTTTCCGCCTTTGCGCTCCGATTCAGTGTGACAATATGTATATATATCATTCTGCAAGCCGTCGCCGCAAAGCTCGATCGACAGTGAACACAATTTGTTATCGAAGAAGCGGTGTTATCTTTCCATGTTCTAGCGGAAGATTCATTCTCGTTTTGCACATTTCGAGAGTAGTGGAGCGAGGGCCCAAAACAGGTGCTGCACAGAAAGAACAGCACGGCGTGGTTCGCCGAATGAAATAGCAACGCAGCAACAGTCCCAAAACAGCGCTGCAGGGAGAGCGCGATATACTGGGAAATGTGCTCGAGGAGTGTCTGAGGAGAGGAGGTTATGATGGGAGAGACGGTGGAGTTTTCACCCCAAGGTCGACTCAGGGTACTGAGCGTGTTTAGCTTGGCTTGTCAGCCCGACCTGGCCTATACCCGTCCCTAGGACCGAGTTTGGGGTTGACGGCTGCCACTCTTCCCGTACACAGGCCATCGCTGCCGATCAAAGCTCCATACACATCATCGTCGGCACCACGAATGCCACGCTGTTTCGGTCGGCGACCGAGCGTAGTGCCTACGACGGAGCGGCATGAAGGAAGGGGGACAGCGGCGCATGAAGGAAGGGGGAGGAACAGTGAGGCGGAAAGCGTTCAAATGGGAGAAGTGGAAGGGGAGCGGAGGGAGAAGAAGAAGGCAGGAGGGAGAGAATGTCGAGGGGAGGAGGGCAGGCGAGATGGAGAAAGGTGACTTTAGGTGAGCAGAGGGAAAGTTACCGGATAGGGTGGGATAGAGTCGATCTTACGGGAACGGAAATATGCTCTTGCTCTAGCCTACTGAGGGCGAGACGCAAACATGGAGGGGAGGGGAAATCCGAAGCGCTGTCATCCTTCCGCACGGGCCATGGTAATCTATCTTCTCTGTATTGTTCCAAATTTAACGGATGTCCCGAGGACGCGAAGCAGAAGATTTTAGAACGCAAAGAAGAAGAAGAAGAAGAAGGACAAAGACGGGACAAAGCGCGACAAGAGAGCAGAGCATCATTGAACTGACCGGCCGCATTAGGTCATGCGGAACTAAATTTCGGACGCGCACTGTATGGGTTGAGCGCATGTCTCCACTTTTTTTTATTCGGGAAACGGAGGGTCACTCTGCCTTGAACTGTATTCGTTGAGCTTCACCGCGCGCGTTTTCCGCGTCAGGTCGGTCCCCGCCTGGGGGAACCGCATGTCTCCACTTTTTTTTATTCGGGAAACGGAGGGTCACTCTGCCTTGAACTAGGAACATGAAAAAAAAAAAAAAACCCAGGAACATGGCGGGTGCGCTTTCCCTCCCCTTCCTGCTCCTCTGCTTTCTTTCTGCAACCTCCATCGTTCACTCTTTTTTTTTCTTTTCTTTTCTTTTTTAATTATTCGGACCATTTCGTAAATTATGCGTCTCATCCTATGATGATTGCGCAGTGGAAGTGCTAATTGATTGATCTTCTCTGTGGACGTGCTCATTGATTGATCTTCTCGATATCGTTCCAATTTTAACGTATGTCCCGAATTACTCTTCACGTCGTCCGTCGAAATTCAATTGTTTTTTTGCCGTGAATACTACGCTCCCACATCATGACTGTATCGGGTTGGACACAGAGGGGTTGCATACCTTTATGACGGGGGTATGTTGCGTTTGAGGGGGCGGAGCATACCTTTATGACGGGGGTATGTTGCGTTTGAGGGGGCGGTGCATACCTTTATGACGGGGGTATGTTGCGTTTGAGGGGGCGGGGTTATACTTTTGACGGGGGGGGGGGTATGTTGCATTTGAGGGAAGACCGCAACTGTCCAGTGGTCCTCGTCCGAGTTGGGACTT